AGGCAGATATCCTGCTGGGACCCTGTTACAGACCACCCAACCAGGATGAAGAGGCAGATGAAGCATTCTACAAGCGGCTGGCAGAAGTCTCACAATCGCTAGCCCTTGTTCTCATGGGGGACTTCAACTTACCAGACATCTGCTGGGAAGACAACATAGCTGAGAGAAAACAGTCTAGGAGGTTCCTGGAGTGTGTGGAAGGGAACTTCCTGACACAGCTGGTAAGTGAGCGTACCAGGGGAGGTGCCTTGCTCAACCTGCTGTTCATAAGCAGAGAAGGACTGGTGGGAGATGTGTTGCTCAGAGGCCATCTAGGGCTTAGCGACCATGAAATGATAGAGTTTCCAATCCTTGGTGAAGTAAAGAAGGGGTCAGCAAAACCACTACCATGGACTTCCGGAGGGCAGGCTTTGGCCTGTGCAGGATACTGGTTGAGAGAGTCCCTTGGGAGACAGTCCTGAAGGGCAAAGGGGTCCAGGAAGGCTGGGCATTCTTCAAGAAGGACGTCTTAAAGGCACAGGAGCAGCCCGTCCCCATGTGCCATACGACGAACCGTCAGGGAAGACAACCGGCCTGGCTGAACAGGGAGCTTTGGCTGGGACTCAGGGAAAAAAAGGAGAGTCTACCACTCTTGGAAGAAGGGGCGGGCAACTCAAGAGGAGTATAGGGATCTTGTTAGATCATGCAGAGATAAAATTAGAAAGGCGAAAGCCCAGCTAGAACTCAATCTGGCCAGTCTTGTAAGAGATAGCAAAAAATGTTTTTACAAATGCATTAACAACAAAAAGCGAGCCAAGGAGAATCTCCATCCTTTATTGGATGCGGAGGGGAACATGGCCACCAAGGATGGGGAAAAGGCTGAGGTACTTAATGCCTTCTTTGCCTCAGTCTTTAAGAGTCAGACCAGTTGTGCCCAGGGCATTCAGCCCCCTGAGCTGGAAGACAGGGATGGAGAGCAGAATAAACCTCCCATGGTCCAGGAGGAAGCAGTTACTGACCTGCTACACCACCTGGACACTCACAAGTCTATGGGGCTGGATGCGATCCACCTGAGAGTACTGAGGGAGCTGGCAGATGAGCTTGCCAAGCCACTCTCCATTATTTATCAGCACTCCTGGTTAAGAGGGGAGGTCCCAGATGACTGGAGGCTTGCCAATGTGATGCCCATCTACAAGAAGGTCCGGAAGGAGGGTCCGGGGAACTACAGGCCTGTCAGCATGACCTTGGTACCGGGGAAGATTATGGAGCAGTTCATCTTGAAGTGCACTCACCAGGCAGGTGCAGGACAACCAGGGGATCAGCTAGCACAGGTTCATGAAAGGCAGGTCCTGCTTGGCCAACCTGATCTCCTTCTATGACCAGGTGACCTGCCTAGTGGATGAGGGAAAGGCTGTGGATGTTATCTACTCAGACTTTAGTAAAGCCTTTGACACTGTCTCCCACAGCATTCTCCTAGAGAAGCTGGTGCCTCATGGCCAGGTCCACTCTTTGCTGGGTAAAGAACTGGCTGGAAGGACGAGCCCAGAGAGTTGTGGTGAACGGAATTCAATCCAGTTGGTGGCCAGTCACAAGCAGTGTTCCCCAAGGCTCAGTACGTGGGCCAGTCTTGTTTAATATCTTTATCAATGATCTAGATGAGGGGATTGAGTGTTCCCTCAGTAAGTTTGCAGATGACACCAAACTGGGGGGGAGTGTCGATCTGCTCGAGGGCAGGAAGGCTCTGCAGAGGGATCTGGACAGGCTGGATCGATGGGCCGAGGTCAATTGTATGAGGTTTAACAAGGCTCAGTGCCGGGTCCTGCACTTGAGTCACAACAACCCCAGGCAACGCTGCAGGTTTGGGGCAGAGTGGCTGGAAAGCTGCCTGGTGGAAAAGGACCCGGGTGTGCTGGTTGACAGCCAACATGAGCCAGCAGTGTGCCCAGGTGGCTTGTATCAGGAATAGTGTGGCCAGCAGGAGGAGGGATGTGATTGAGCCCCTGTACTAGGCTCTGGTGAGACCACACCTCGAATACCGTGTTCAGTTTTGGGCCTCTCACTGCAAGATGGACATTGAGGTGCTGGAGCGTGTCCAGAGAAGGGCAATGAAGCTGGTCAAGGGACTAGGGCACAAGTCTTATGAGGAGCAGCTGAGGGAACTGGGGTTGTTTAGCCTGGAGAAGAGGAGGCTGAGGGGAGACCTTATCGCTCTCTACAACTACCTCAAAGAGCTTGTAGTGACGTGGGTGTTGGTCTCTTCTCCCAAGTAACTAGCACAAGGACAAGAGGAAATGGTCTCACGTTGTGTCAGGGGAGGTTTAGACTGGATATTAGGAAAAATTTCTTCACCAAAAGAGTGGTCAGGCATTGGGACAGGCTACCCAGAGAGGGGGTGGAGTACACATCCCTGGGAGTGGTCCTTGGGACAGGCTACCCAGAGAGGTGGTGGAGTCACCATCCCTGGAAGTGTTCAAAAAACGTGCAGACATGGCACTTTGGAACATGGTTTAGTAGACATAGTGATGTTTGGTTGATGGCTGGACTTGATGATCTTAGAGGTTGTTTCCAACCTTAGAGATTCTATGCTAATATGGCCTGGAATATCTCTTTGGTCAGTGTGGGTCATCTGCCTGGTTGTGTCTCCTCCCAACCTGTCATGTCCCCCCAACCTACTGACTGGGGGGCAGGGTGAGAATCAGAGGCGGCTTTGATGCAGTGCAAGCACTGTTCTGCAATACTTACAATGCTGGTGTGTTGGTTTGGTCACAAATCTGAAACACAGCACCAGAAGAGCTGCTGTGAAGAGAACTAACAGCCAGCCATAGTACAAGAGAGGGCCTCAATGGGACCTCAGCTTCCTCTCTCATCACTCTCACATGCAGACCCTCCGGTCCTATGGGCTGTTCAGGGCTGAGTAACTCCTGACTTGATCCGCATCCACGGCTGGCTGTTCTCCTCCATAGTCCTGCCTCAAGGCACAAAGGCCTGGAAAACCTTGCTGCTAAAGACAAAGGCAAGGAGGACATGGAGTAGCTCACACCTACCTACATCTTCTCTCACTAAATTTGGCAGTGGCCACACATTCTTCTTGCTTATTCTTTATCTGTGACTTCAGCAGTAACAGTTCATCTTGGTGCCCCTGAATTCCCTTGCGGGTATCCACTCCAGGGAAGGTTGGGCTTGCCTACAACTATCCCTGTTTCTAAATTCCTCTTTTGAAGTGAGCCCCTCCATCCACCTCCTCAATGCTTTCCTGTTTCTATGGAGCTTCCCAGTGAGCTCCTGTTTTAGGCAAGCTGGTCTCCTGACATTTCTGCTGGTTTTCCAGAGGATCAGTGTGGACACTCCTTGTGCTTAGAAGATGTGGTCCTTGAGGAGCAGCTGTTCTGAGTTTTGCTCCCTTTGAATAATACTTCCTGCTAAATGTCCCCAGAACAGGCCAAAGTCTTTCACTCTCAGCTTTGACATCCGTTCTCTGCTACTCTTCTTCTTCACTTCCCTGGGGAACTGGAACTGCACTATCTCATGGACACCAAGTGCCCAAGACCCTGGGTGTGCAAAGGCTTTGCTTCAATGCAGAGACATGCTGGAGTGGATGGCAGATGGCAATGCAAAGATAAAATGAGGTGTCCACAAAGACAGGAAAGAGAGCAAACCCTGCAGTCCCCCACAACCAGAGAGAATCGGTGCTGGCTGTGCATCCATGGCAGGAGTGAGATTTTCTGTGCGGGGTGTGTCTGAAGCTCCTGAGGGCATGGTGCGGGGAGGGGGCACTCCAGGAGGAATAAGGTGCTGCTGAAGGTGTTCTTGGGTGTGGACATCCTATGATCAAAGCACACTGTGAAAATCATTGAGCTATTTCTTGACTGTAGCATGAACGGGTTGACTAAAGGAGGAGAGAAAAGAACCAGCAGAATTTGAGAGTGTAGGTCCATGAGTGCAGATCCTGGTGCAATGCGCTTCCTATTCATGGATGGCCTGCATCTACTTGATACAGATGGGACAGTCCCTTGGCCACCTGCAGTGATTGGACTCACTCACTTGCAGACATGATCTGAATCTGTCTGAGATGCCCTGTGGTGTCTGTTTGCTCCCACACTGAATGAGGACAGCCTTCCTGTTTGTCCTGTGCTGTCCCAGCAAACCCACACGCATTTGTGCTGGAGGGCCTAGACATGTGTGGTGGCTAAACCTCGGCTGGACGCCAGGTGTCCACCAAGCCGCTCTGTCAATCACCTCCTCCGCA